AGGTGACGATCTATCTTTTCAATTTTCTCCTAAATAACTCTATTGTTGGAAAGCTAAACGTCGCTATACGTCGCAATCTTTCACGTGGGACTGACAATTATGCCACATATTGCTCCTTGGACTTTTAGTCTAAACCTTTTGAGTAGCAGGCACTAACCTGTTTAAAAAATGGTTCAAGTTTTAAAACTTTGTAACCATAGGGAGTATAAATTTTCAAGCCCCAAACCCAAATTTGCAACAAATCATGTCAAGTTCTTCTTTCCTTCTAGCATTGCTTTGCATATCCATTGGGAGCTTAGCTTCTGCTGCTTCAGCTGGAGAAGAGGACTCAGTTTCTATCTTTCAAGTCACCGGTACGTAGCTCAAGTTTAATTGCTGGGCTTACAGTATATGTGCAATGCAGATGGCAAGTTGGGAGGATATTCTCAGTGGGTATCCTTCAGGGTCACAAACCTGGGACAAGACACCTTAGAAGTGAAAAACTCCTTCTTAACATTTGGAAAGTGGTACAAATACCCAGATAAGAACGCCGACGCGAGTGCACCAGGTGGGATAACCATTGCTGCGGGAGAAACCTCTCCCAACCCGCCATTTGCTGCATGTGGAAGGCAAGCTTCTCCATCTGGGACTACAGGTGGATTTGACCTCTATACGAAGGGCACCAAAGTTGCCACTATAAACTTTGATTGTCCATACATTGGCAGTAATAAGCTGTCTGTCAGCGATGAGTGCACGAATTGTCTTGTGCAGCTTCCGTCCTTTTCTACTTCTGGTGCGTTGGGAGACCTTGTTATTAAAGCGGTGGCACTAGTTCAAGCCTCCGAGAGTGAAGCTTAGCAAGCTCCATTGCCAGTGGTCACACTGGTGCTCCTTTCAAAAGTATATGTGGTGGAATAAAATGCTATGCTCCTGGGTTCTTATAATACTGAAATATACTCTAAGATCATCATTGAAATGCCAAACAAAATCTATCTCCAATCTCTGATTTTCACAGAAATCTTCATATCACAGCTTAAGTCCATGCCCCAATGGTTTGGACAATGAAGAGGTACTTAGCAGATGAAGCTGATGAAAGAGTTGTTGCGACACTTTCCATGAGTTCTTCTGGTTAAGATATCTCACGATATGGCAAATGTTTAGTGAGTTTAAGAGCACGCATTTTGATCTCCGCGTCGAGGTAGATCCTCACTACACGGAAGATAGCCGGTTAGCGCGCGGATCTCCGCTGTCGAGACCCTTCCATCGCAGGAAAGCTCCAACTTCGCTCTTCGCGAGCACTCTCAGCCTCAGAGATTCTCGTCGCTCGATCGCGATGGAATCGCTTCTCCGATCCAGCATGCAAGCACGCCGATCGCTGCTCGAGCTCTCGCAACGCCGTACCTCACGTGGTAAACATCGTACTCGTCCACCGCGAAGAGCAAATCGTTGTCTCTCTGCTGCCACCTGTTTCATCTCGTCGGGATCCTCGGCGCAGTAGATCCAGTTCCTGTCCTGCTCGTCCTCCGCAAAGGCCACGAGTAGTGCATCTCTCACAGAAGCTACGAGGCTGCCGAGCCTCTTCTTCGCGCTAGCGCTGCTAGCCCGCGAGATGATCCGCGAGCGAGAAGTGCCAAGCAGCCACTACGTCATGGCTCCCGACTAGCTCGATCGTCCGGGGCTGCGATGGATCAACTCCAAGCGATCCGGCAGCTCCTTGAAAAGCAAGCGCCAAATCTTCCCGCTTATCGATCACGCAGATTTTCGACTCCTTGAAGCGTCACAGTTCCAGAAAACCCCGAAATCTTCAAGAACCCTAATGCCGCGATATAAGGGGCCAAAGGCGACCGTTAGTTTGTTCGTCCAGAGATCCAAGTTCCCCATCAGCGACAAATGGAAGGAGCGAAATCTCCTCCACGCCTACCACTTCTGGCCGCGGCGAACCGGCAAATCCCTCTTCGAGCAGCAATTCCTGGGCGAGAAATGGATCGAGCGCCCCATCCCAGAGATCCAGATCAAGCGCCGCATCCGAACGCGCCGCCTCCGCCGCCAGGGCGCCGCCGAGAAGCTCCGCCAGCTCCTCCGCCGCAACCCCCCAGACGGCCGCGAGACGCTCACCGGCCCCCGCAAGCTCAACCGCGCCGAGTTCGTCCCCGGCGACCTCGCGCGCCACATCCGCGCCAGCGGCGACTCCCGCGATGTCGCGCGCACCCGCGAGCTCCATGATTACGTCCTCGCGAGCGATTTCCACCACAGCACCTTCCTCGCCAACACGATCATCGAGGCCTACGGCAAATGCGAGAGGATTGACGACGCCATCGCTGTCTTCCACGCGATCCAGCTCCCAAATCTCTTCTCCTTCAACATCCTCCTCTCGGCGCTCTTCCAGAACGATCGCTCCGGCCACGCCGCCTCCCTCTTCGCGGCGATGGGCCGCCGCGACATGGTGACGTGGAATACCATGGTCACCGGATATGCCCAGCTCGGGCAACCCGACTCCGCCACATCGGTCTTCCACCGCATGCCGTACCGGGGCATCGTCTCGTGGACGGCCATGGTTACGTCGTACGCTACCAACGGACGGCTGGATCGCGCGAAGGAACTCTTCGTTTCCATGCCCGAGAGGAGCGTGGTGTCTTGGAACGCGATGCTCCAAGCATTTGCCCAAAACGGGCATCTTGACGAGGCGAGAGATCTCTTCGTGGGCATGCCGGAGAGGGATGTGATCTCCTGGACAGCGATGATCACTGCGCATGGGAGCTCTCTGCGAGTAAACTCCGCGAGGATCTATTTCGATCGGATGCCCGAGAGGGATACAGTGTCCTGGAACGCGATGATCGAGGCGTATGCCGAGAACCGGCAACCCGATGAGGCGCGGCGGATGTTTGATCGGATGCCACGCCCGGATGATAGCTCCTGGCCGGCGCTCATCCGCGCCTACGCGATCGCGGGCTTCGTCCTTGAGGCAAAGATCATCTTCGACAAGTGCCCGCGCCAGATCGTCTACGCCTGGTCGGCGATGGTGGCGGCCTACGCGCAAAACGGCGATCTCGACCGCGCCACCCAGCTCTTCGAGGAGATGCCCGTCAAGAACTCGCGAGCCTGGAACGCGATCATCGCCGGCCACGCTCAAAAGGGCGATCTTGTCCGAGCCGAGAGCGCCTTCTCCGCGATGCCGAATCCAAATGCCACCTCCTGGAACGCGCTGATCCATGCCTACGCTCGATCGAGCCAGCAGCACCACGAAGCGATCCATCTCTCACGGAGGATGATCTTGGCCGGGGTCGATCCGGACGACGTCACCTTCGTGGGCCTCTTGAATTCGTGCAACCATGCCGGACTGCTGGAGGCTTCTCGGCAGATCTTTCTCGCGGTCCAGGAGCAGCACTTCGAGGAGCCGACCGTGGATCACTACTGCTGCTTGATCAATGCGCTGGGACGAGCTGGGAGGCTGGGACAGGCCGAGGAGCTCGTCGCTTCGATGCCTTTCTTGCCGGATGCTGTGACTTGGACGACGCTGCTCAACGTTTGCAAGCTTCATGGCGATGTCGAGCTTGGAGCTGTGGCGGCAAGGCACGCTTTTGAGCTGGACCCGAGGTGTCCGTCGCCATATCTCTTGCTCGTCGATCTGGAGACGCCACCGCAAGCGCTTCCGGAGCCTCTGTGCTCGAGATTCACACCCAGGACGAAGACGAAGGCTGTCTACTTTGGAACTGGTCGTAAGGCTAAAAGCTACAAGGAGATAAAGAACAGGAAACTCCAGGAGCATGACATGAAAAAGCAAAGGATGCAAGACTTACGGGAGGTTCTGAAAAGTTGCAACAGCTCTGATCCACAGAAACTTCACACAATGCCTTGCTGAGACTGGAGATAGATGAGTGGATCAATTGACTCCACAGAGACTCCACAGCATGCCTTGCTGCGGCCGGAGATAGCTGCCGAGAACCATAAACGATCCATGCCTGCAAATTCCATCTTGTAAAAAGAATAACTTCACAGGAAATGAGAGGTACCTGATCAATGGAAGGCCAGCTTCGAACGCCCATCGCAGCAAAGTTGGATAGAGCTGTCCCAAGATGTATATATGAAGATGAGCTGCTCTCGAGTATAATGCAATGGCAGCTTCTTCGTTTGTAGCAATCACATAGCCACTGCGAACAAAACCCGTTGTGTATCCCCTGAGCCACAAAGACAAAGCTTGAGAATCTGGAAAGGTAAAACTTTGGCACTGTTCTCACACTATGGCTCCGTCTTTGATGACCACTAGAACACTGCCGTTTCCTGATGCTCGAAGCTGCACGTCTCTGATCTGAGCTTCACGGTCGTATCCCAACGTCTTCTTGAAGAGCTTGGAGCAAGCATCCACGTCGTTCGGCTCCATCTCCCGGACAACATAGCCTGTCAAAGATGTAGAAGTGTAAATCTTGTATAAAACTGGATTACCAGATAGTGAGATGCCAACGATGTTGGCAGCTTTCTCGGCTTGGTCTTTGCTGAGTGGGCCATGAAAATTACTCCAGAACTCCACGGGACGAAAGCCGAATTTCACGTACAAGGAAAAGCTCTTCGTGTTCGGAGCTCCCTGACACCCGAGAGAAAACTGTTTTGAGAAGCCAGAGTCAAAAGTTGCGAACCTGAACTAGTCGTATAGATGCTGCGCTTGTGTTGCGGGATTTCTCCAGCAAGCTCAAAGTGATAGCTTTCCCCACACCTTTGTTTGCTGTGCTAGGCATCACCGAGACAAGGGCCAGAGAATTCACCTCTCCTCCTGAAACAAAGGCTTGTGGTTTAGATTCCAGATTCCAGAATTCAGCAACTTAACCAAAAACGATGAATCCCACACCGATGACAGCTCCCCCTTGGACGGCCACAACACCAGCTGAGCTTTCATCTTCCAGTCGACCTCTGACTGCTGCGATGGCTACTTCCACACTTGGAAAATCGACCTCCACAGCAGCAGCATTTGTAGCACTGTTTATCTCCAGAAACGCATTGTATAGAACGGTCGCAGCAGGAACTAGATCTTGCTTCACAGCTTCTCTGATAGTAAAGTCAGTAGCCATGAGAACGAAGAAAGAACAAACCCTTAAAAGTGTACGGGGTCAGCGTCATGCATTTTGATCCTTTCTTCCTGTCACCGAAGAATAGTCTTCCAGGCGGCCCGACTTCTCAAGTCCAATCCTCAGTGTCTCGTGCGTGATATCATTTGGCTCCAAGAAACTGGTGTCTCGAAACAAATCGATGGCTTCGTCGATTCTTCGCGCAGCACAGAGACCTTTGATAACTGTGGTGTAGCTCACCACGTCCGGCTGGATTTCTCTTTCTTGCATCTCCCTGAACAACACCAGCGCGTGCTCCACCCTGAGTGCCTTGCACAGCCCTTTGAGCAAAACGTTGTAGCTCACGAGAGTTGGAGCGTATCCTCGGTCCACCATCAGGTTGAAAATCTCGCAGGCCTTTTGAGCAGAGCCTCTGTCGCATAGAGCGTTGAGAAGCTTGGTGTAGCTTTTAACATCCGAGGGAATCCCTGCTCTTGCCATCCAGTCCAGCGTTCCACCAGCATCCTCCAACCTCTTGTCTCGGAGAAACCCGTCCACCAGCGTTGCGAAAGTTACCTCGTCCGTTTCGCATTTCTTCTTCCTCATGTAGAGAAAGACGTCCACTGCCTTCTCCATCTCGCGAGACCGACAGAGATTCGCGATAACGCAGTTGTAAGTCGAGACGCTGAATGGACACCCCACGCTGATCATCTCGTCCAGCAAAGCCTGAGCTTCTGTATCCTTCCTGGACCTCCAGAGTCCGTTGATGACGGTGTTGTACGTGATCGTGTTTGGAGCTGGCTCCATCTCTCGCATGAGCTGCAAAGCGTCGTCGGCTCTTCGAACTTTGCAGAGCCCGCTGATCAAAGTGTTGTAAGTGACAACGTCTGGCTTGCATCCGCTATCGATCATCAGCTCTAGAATCCCCTTGGCCTTTCTCACGTTGCACACCTCGCAGAAACTCGCGATGACATTGTTGTAAGTCTCAGCCATCTCTGGAGGACGTCCACTCCTCACCATATGATCCAGGAGCGTTAAGGCCTCGTGGATCTTCTGCCTCTTGCACAGCGACTGTATCAGAGGCTCGTAAGTTGCCACGAGAGGAGGAATCGACGTCCGTGAAACTAGAACGTTGACAAACTTCCGGAGCTCTCGATCCCTGCCAAGTTTTAGAAACGCAGCGATGAGCGTCGAGTACGTGAAGAGATCCGGCCAGCAACCTCTACCTTTCATCAAGCTCAAGATCTCGAGAGCGCCATCCACATCCCCCGACTTGCAGTGCCCCGAGATGATCGTGTTGTAAGCAACCACGCCGGGACGAATCCCCGAGTCCCACATCTGTTCCAGGAGCTCACGAGCACTGTCAAACCTCTCAAGCTTGTGGAAAACATCGATCAAAGTGTTGTAAGTTACCTCGTCTGGATCACACCCAGCCTTTCTCATCATCCGGAGAGTCCCAAGAGCGCCATCCAAATGCCCGGCTCTGGCAAATCCATTCACGACGCTGTTGAAGATCACCACGTTTGGAGCCACAGCTCCGCCAAGGATCATCTCCTCCAGGAGCTCCAGCGCGGCTTTGAGCCGCCGCGCCTTGCAAAGTCCCTCGATCACCACTCCATATGTCACGACGTTTGGACGGCAGCCTCCAACGATGGCGGATTTGAGGAGCTCGTAGGCTTCTCCATATTTCTTGCTCTGGAAGCACCAGTGGATCACAGCGCTGCAAGCTATCACGTCCCTGGCCTGGAATTTCTCTTCCATGAGATCCAAAACCCTGTGAGCGGCGTCTAGATCCCCGGCATTGCACAGCTCTCTCACGGCGAGCCTGTACGTGGTCTTCCGGGGCGGATCGCGCGCCATGGCCAGGAGATTGCGCGCTTTCTTGTGAGATTGGAGGCAATCCGCCAAATTCTTGGACTCATCGGATACGGAGTGGAGAGGCAGAGCTGTGCGCTTACCAGGATCGGCAATGACGTGCTCGCGCGCGGCTGCATTCCAGCGCGCGATCGCCTGGACGCACGCCATCGTTGCTAGGGTTCTTACAAGACCACAAGATGGCAGAATTTAAATTGGTTACCACGATTTGGGGATGTAGCTCAGATGGTAGAGCGATCGCTTCGCATGCGATAGGTAAGGGGATCGATGCCCCTCATCTCCATTATCAATTTTTATTCTTTTAAAAAACCCGAATCGTGCTCTTAAATTTCCGTCTTTACGTAGGAATTTTTTAAAAAGAAAATAGCAACAATTTATGACTTTTAAATAGTCCCATAAAACAACAACCGACTGAAGAATAATTTTTGTGGGAGGGACTTTTGTGACACTGATTCATAAAATCCACATACAACTGGCAACTACTAATGTCATTATTATTAAGATTGCTCTCTTCCAACCCATCCATAGCGATCTCAACAGTAGTGACATAACATTGGGAATTGCCAGTTTTATAATGTCCCTCCCCACAAAAAATAATTTTTTCATTATTCAGCAGACGAACCCTAATTCAAAGAAATATGATCGATTGGAAAAAAAATATTTTACAATTGTCTTCGCCTTCTCCTCTTCTTGCTGTTCTCCTCGTTGCTCTTTAGAAATCCAAGCAGAAGTAGCACGCCCCAGAAGCACCATCCCCCAGCTCCCCATCCTCCGCCACCGCCGCCACCATCGCCGCCACCGTCGTCCCCGCCGCCGGGGCCACCGCCACCGCCATCGTCAAGCTTGGGGACGAAAGCTTCCTTCGCTGGCGATCGAGACACAAAACCATCGATAAGAAGCCCTTCTCTACCATTCGACACGAAGAACACAAAGAACAAACGCTTACATTGCATTGGAGCCGTCTTGGAGACGACAGCCGACTGGTTTTGGATTGTCTGCTGCTGGGCTTCACACGTTGCCTAGAAATCCCAAGAAGTTTAGACAAATTTCGAACAAGAAAAATCAATCAGTCATACATACCCTCATCGCGCTGCAAGTGGTTGTCACTGCTAGAGCCGAGACATCGAATTTGCGGTGACCAACATGAATTATCCTAACGCTACTCCCGGTAATAGCCGCTCCTACTGTAGATTTGGATAGAATTGGAGCTACTGAGTCAGGGAAATCGAGGAAAAGACTTACCGTCAGGAGCTCGGATTTGCTGCGCAAGAAATGGGGACGCGAGCACGGCCGACATAGCTGCTGGCCCGCCCAATCGAGAAACGAGTGCCACAAATGTAGCCGCCCAAATCAGCAAGGAGTGAAGCCGCTGGAAGAAATCATCGCCTCGCCACGCGCCAAAGCGATTCCTTCCTCTCCTCTGCCTTCTTCCCTAAAATCACCATAAACCCTAATCGAATATCCTTTCTCCGCGCTTCCTGACGTGGCACCGACAGACATTAGAACAGCTGCCATGTCACTGACACGTCATTTACAGGACAAATGGAATCAAAGCCTTCCTCTGTCTCGGGAAGCCATCGACTTTCTTGAGGTACCATCGCCGGGTGGAAATGCTTCGCGAGGTGAGGTAGAAGGCGACGAGCATCACTGTGGCGGCGCTGATGGCAGTCTGGGAGATCATCCCCAGGCCTATGAAATCGATGATCTCGAACAGATAGTGCGGGCACGCGACGAGATCGAACAATCCACCGTGAGGAACCACGTATCTCGGCTGCTGCGGGGAGCGGCCACTTCTCAGCTGGGCGAGCAAATCGTGGTGGTAGAAGTTCCCGACGATGCCGACCACGAAGAACACACACCCCAGGAACATCAAGTCGATCTTGGGTGGTGCCAGATCCTCCGCCACTTGCTGCGCGTAGAGGAGATTGGCCGTGGAGGCCGTGTAGAAGAACACGATGCTCAAGCTGGACAGGAGCTCAGCATTGCCGGAGTACTTGTGCACGAACAGCACCTGAAAGATCGTGAGAAAGTGTGACCAGCTTGGAAAGAATCACTTGCCTCGATGACCCTCTTGGAGAAATGGATGCAAATCGCAGCGGTGAGCACCAGGAACCTGGGACTAGGGTGAGTGTTCTTGAGGAATTCCGGGGCGAGCGATGGGAGAATTCCCATGGTGGCGCTCAAAACAGCTCCTGCCAATGCCGCCGAGGGGAAATAGAAGAGAAACATGGCGATTCTGCTGGGGATTTCGCCTAGCGGACTCTTGCCCTCGGCGAATTTGGAGTACCTCAGACCTCCTCCTTTGAGCTCCAGCAATCCCATGGGAAGAAGCGACGCCAATCCGATCACCAAGACGGCGTAGAGGTAGGAATTCGCGGCATACTCCTCGAAGAACAAGAGAGCCATGAAGAGAGAATGAGAGAATGAGGGAATAACCTAGGCTATAGATAAATTTTTTGTTCCTCCCGTGGGAAGCCAAGTGTTGGCCACTTGGCCGCTTGATTGACCAGCGTTGATCCTAACAATGGACGATCATCTCGGGCTTTGTTGACCACCGTTGACATTACGCTGACCAGCGTGGACTAACAATGTGAGACTCCATTTTTTCGGCGCCTATGAATGTTGCGCTTCTCGCGAATCGTCTCCGGCAAAGCACGAGTCTCGTGGACACGACTCGGATCCACGCGATCATTCTTGGGGCGGAAGAGTTTAGATCCGATCGTCTCCTTGCGAATTTTCTGATCGAGGCTTATGGGCGGAGCGGAAGTCTGGCACAGGCGCGTGCTACGTTTGATTCCGTGAAGCAGCGGAATGTTTACTCGTGGAACTTCATGGTGTTGGCTTATGCCCGAAACGGGCATCTTGATGATGCGAGGAGGCAGTTTGATGCAATGCCTTCGCACGGGGTTGTTGCAAGCACTGCACTTCTAGTTGCGTACTCGCAAAACGGCGATCTTCTTCAGTGCGGTCATATTTTCAAGACGATTCAGCAAAGCTGCGTTGTTGCTTGGACCGCTATGCTTTCCGCAAATGCCGTGAATGGGCTTCTCGAAGAAGCAAAGCGTGTTTTTGAGAGAATGCCTGCCCGTGATGCCGTAGCGTGGGACGCAATGCTACAAGCCGCTTCAGAAAACGGAAACATTTTGGAAGCAAGATCTCTGTTTGGGAAAATGCCACAGACCACTCTAGTCTCATGGACATCTCTCATTTTCGCAAATGCGCAGGCAGGAATGATCATAGGAGCAGAGGAACTATTCCAGAATATGCCTCAGAGAAACGAAGTCTCGTGGAACGCCATGGTCTCGTCTTACTCAATGCTTGGAGACCCAGATAGAGCTGTGGATTTTCTCAAAACTATGCCCCATATTTCAACCATTGCATGGACGTCGATTATCACAGCAAATGCCGCATCTGGAAACCTTGGAAAAGCTAAAGCCGTGTTTGATTCCATGCCCGAGCACAACCTGGTAGTCTGGAACACCCTCATTGCGGCCTACTGTCGGGCTGGGAATCTCCGAGAGTCAACAAAGACCCTTGGCAGGATGCCGGCGTGGAGCACACTGACATGGAACGCCGTGGTTGCCGCATGTGGTCACCACGGTTACACCGCGGTTGCCGTGGGGCTATACCACAGCATGGAACTGGAGGGGATGAAGCCCGATGCGACCACGTACGCGGGCATTTTGACTGCCCGCAGCCATGCTGGGCAGCTCGAGAGCGCTCGGTCCCATTTTGTGGGAATGGTTGCCGATCACGGCATTTTGCCGAGCTTGCAGCACTACTGCTGCATGGTTGACATTCTTGGGAGATTGGGGCGGCTGGAAGATGCCCAAGACTTGATCGATTCAATGCCTTATTTGCCTGACCATGCCGTGTGTGTGAGCTTGCTTGCTGCACGCAGGAGCCATGGCGAGATTGGATCCATCAATGCGCCAAAGTGCAATGTGAGCGAAGACAAGAGCGCTCCCTACATGCTCTTATCCACGGCTATGCTTCAGTTGACATTTTCTTGATTAAAAGGAGGCTTCTTCTAGCTTTGAACCTTGCATTAATGAAAGCTGGAAGAGAGTCCGATACATTTCTCCAATTACCAAGCAGATATGTAAACTAATTTTTCTGGAATGTCCTCTTTCAGAAGACAAATATAAATTAGAATAAAATAAAATGAACATATACCATCTTTAGCCATCAAGATTGCCAAGCAAATTGAAAGGCTGATATTTCCTAAATTGAAATTGAGATCCAATATGAATTTTATTCTTAGTTCTTAAACATATTTGTTTTATTTATTTTTTTGAGTACACACAACTGAAAAATTATATAATATGATGTTGTCACTCCAGCCTTAAAATTGTAAAGCATAACAAACAAAAACATAATAAAATATACAAAGATTTTTTTAATATTACTTGTAGTAAAAGTATTAATACAAGAAATTTGGTGATTTTGATATTTTAAATGTATTAATAATAAATACAATGGCAAAGGCAATTAATACTATACCAAATACTAAACTTCCAAAAGCTCAAAGTTTATATAGAACTTTAAATGTTGAAAGAAATACCACTAATGCATATGATGTTTTTATTCTAGATACAATTAATAATGAAAGTGGTTCAAAAGTAGGAATAACTATAAAACAAATGTATTATATATGTTACTATGAAATAATTATAGTGATATAGTAACTTTTGCAACTTCATATATAATTATAAAAACATTATTTATATTTACTCATATTTTAGAAAATATTATTCATATAGACCATAAATAATAATAATCAATATTAGCTGTAATATTTTGAAAAATATGCTAACAAGTGGTTCATTTAATATGTCACATCAGTATTTATTATATCACCAATCTTCAGTCTTTACAAATAAAAATATTAAATTGATGTTTTTATAAAAAAAATTATTTAACAAATATACTTTATAGTTGTCAAAATTATAAATAAAGGTATTAAGACTATAAGAACATGGAAATTTAGATTTATATTTCTCTTATGAAGAAATTATTTATATTTTTTTTTTGCATATATCCCAGTATTTACCAGACTTCATATTTAGTTATGCAAAGTTATTGCAACTTTTTAACATATTAAAAGACATTAAGAATTAAATTAATATTAAAAAATACTTTTAAAATTAATTTTACCATAATAAATGTATTGCATATCATTTTTTAGATGATAACATAGTTCTAGTGTTTATCACTAATATACTCTTCCAACCAAGTAGAAGAGTTTATTTATGTAAGACTAAATAAATTTTAGTTAGTGATAAGCTCTAGATAACATAGTTATAGAGTTTGTCACTAATATACCCTTCTAACCAAGTAGAAGAGTTTATTTATGTAAGACTAAATAAAGTTTAGTTCTTTGAAGGAAAAAAACTTTTATAGTCCACTTATTGTTAGTCAATCCAAAAGTATATTTTAGGAGTTACTCATTTTGTTAGCTCACTTGGAAATTAAACAAGGGAAAAGTTTTCAGCCTGAAGTAAATTTTATACTAGATAAACAAACTTTACATTTAACATTAAGGAAAAAGAGGAGTTTGGGTGATATAAAATTTAGAGTCTTTTATTCAGTGGCCATAAAATTTAGAAGTAATTATTTTTATTCAAAAACTTTAAGACCTTAAATTTGTGTATTGCAAAGATTATAATTAGTAAAATAAATTTTTATATTTTATATATTAAAAAACATTAAGTATTACACTGATATCTTTTTCAACACAAAATAAAAATAAAAACTTAATGTCAAAGGTTTGCATAAGTGGTATTAACTCTTTTGTCAATTACTATAAAACCAAGAATACAGCCAAAATCCATAATGACTACTGCAATCATCAAAATCTTTAAATACATTGGGTTAGTATTATGTTTGTAAGATTTAATATAAGTTTATGTGCCCAAGAAATTATATATATAAAATATTTATGTAATAATATAAAAATCTAGTATTATTTTTGCGTGCAAATTTATAGAATATATAGTAAACTTATGATTAAAAACCTTTGGTTTGTAGGCTTATAAAATAATCTTTTTTGTAAATAATATTTAAGCGACCTAAAATTACTTCAGCATTTTATCATGAATTTATTATTTGGAATCAAACTAATACATAAAGCTGCAAAAAACTTATGTTGGGACCATTAATTTTTTTTTTTTCTGGAATGCATCATTCATGTCTTAAAGCAGAAAAAACAATACAGAAAATGCATCAGACACCAAGATGCAAAAGAGGAAGTGATTTAATATTTGCCTATCCTTGCCATGCTGACATTACCACCCGGTTGGTTTAGATGTTGCAATTGTCCATATGAAGGAGAAATATCTTGCACACAGCAATATATAACACTTATGGTCCTATGACTCTGAGCCACCTTGAGACCCAATACTAATGCTATATGGTCAGCCATATTCAATTGTGAGCTGTATGACCTGGGGCAGAGAAAGAGCGTGGTGTTTGTGTCTAGAATTCGTTGTTCTACACACTATCAAATATTGTCGTACGCTTTACGGGTATTGGTCATGAATGCGCGCGAGGACCATGGTCATGCTATGCATCTCCCATTTCCCATGTAAAGAAAAATAACATTTGGGTTCGTGCATGGGTTGTGAGTGATTGATTCTCTCCATGGATGTATGTATGACATGTTTTGTGGTCAAGCCAGAAACGACTAGAACACTTGATCCATTCGCAAAAATTTCCTCTACTGTGAAGAATTCTCAATTTCAACCTGGGAAAGATTCCTTTTACCATCCATCGCTAGTTCCTCTTTGACCATGATAATAACTGACAATCAAGAAATTTCTTCTAGATACTTTACTTTGGAAAAGTCAAACTTGGGTGGCGCATGAGAACGTCCGGACATTACACGGTGGATTAAAATGGCTCCTTTTCATTGACTTGTTTCAACCACTGATCCACCGCAGCCCCTCTCTTCGCTCTCTCGCGAGCGACACCAAGATGGATGTTTGATGTGATGGGCAGCTGGATCCACCCCAGCAATCGCCTTAAATGCCGCGCCACTCGCCGGGAGCGCTCGCTGGATCGCGAATTTGGGCAAATCCTGGTTTGTGAGTAGCTCCTTGCGCCCATGAATCCCTACGAGGTCTCACAGACCTCCTCCGACACGATCCAGTCGCTCCTAGACACCGCCCAAAAGCTGCGAGGGTGCAGCGATGGCGGCGGCGATGTGGGCGGAGCTGTGGCGGCGGCGGAGAGGCTCCAGCAGAGGCTAGCACAGCTCCACCAGCTCCATTCCAGGTCATGGCACATCCTCCGCCACAACAACGAGCACGCCGCCTTCGTCATGGCGCGCCTGGAGAGCATGGATGTTCTTTGCGCCAGGCTCGTCCCGGCCATGGACGCCGCGCGAGCGATTCTCCATCGCGGCAAGATCATCGCCCCGGAGAAGAGACCATCCTCCTCGATGTG